TATATATATATATATATGTCTGTCTGTCTGTCTGTTTGACTGTCTGTCCCTCTCTCTGTCTCTTTTCCCCCATCATCTTGTGTTGTTGTTTTTCTATGTCCCTTTCCCTGTCTTTGCCTCTATGTCATCATTCTAAACAGTGTGCCGGTCTTTCAGTCTTTCTGCTGTGTCTCACCCTCGCCGTCCCTCTGTTGTACCATCCTAAATGCAATAATACGTCACACCCTTGTTATCATTATACGCATTGTAAAATGGACTGAGTTCCCTGGTCTGTTTTCAGTTCAGTCTGGTTCTGACCATGTCTCAGAGCCCAAAAAAACCTCGGGCGATAGGAGGTGTGCCAGAGTCAAGACCAGGTGATCCTGGAAAGGACGGCAACAACGACAACGACGACCGTAGAAAGACTGATGATGATGGCGAGTCTAGGGCGAACTTATGTAGCGTTCTAATTCATACCGAAATCTGGAGCTTGATAGTAACCATTTCCATGCAAGATGGGCCTTTTTTGTGTGTGAGGTTGTACACCTTGTTACAGTAAGTATTATGTAAATATCACTCACTCGTTCATACACTCATTCATTCACTCACCCACTAACTCACTCAGTGGATCACTCACTCACGTACTCATAACCTCTCATTGTGTTAACTTACAAAACTGTTTCTACAGAAGTGTAAAAAAAGAAACCCCTTTTCGCTTTTTCCCTTTACCATACTAGGTTAATAAAATTGTCACGTTCTTCCCGTATAGTGCGCTTAGATCTTCCTCTGTATCTTTCAAAGCCACTCCTACTCCTAGCAGTAGTAAGCGACTAAACAAGTAGGCTTCAGAGGCGCTTTTTGCTTCAAGTATGAGAGTCCACTTCTCGTGGAATTATACAACGGAATTAGTAACCTATTATTTGATAGTTCTCATTCATCAGGTGCATTCTGGGATATGGTATTTGATTCTCCTGCACAATATTCATAACATTCGCAATAGGGCACCCCATTAGTTCCAACATAACAGATTTCATTAATTTCCAATCCCTTCCCCTTAAAAGATATAAGTAACCACTCACCAAACATTTTTGTTTCGTTTCTTTTTCAGGCACGACCTCATCACATATTCCATCATCTTCTTCACATGCAAAAACGTTCTTGTTATCCTTTTGCTGCTGTATCGGCTTATCGTTGTTATCCTCAAACGGATGGAAGAAAAAAATGATGAAGAAAACTCCAAAGTAGACACGGCAGAATTTGGCGAGAGACAAGATGGAATCTTGCGTCAAGAGACAATTATTCACAACGACACAGGTGATAAAAAGGAGTTATATTTGTGTGTAGTTTCCAGATCTGGGAAGTGGCTATGTGGGTGTAGAAAGTGAGGTTCTGCGTTTATGTGTTGTAGAGTGAAATTTTAGAATGCGTTTGAAGTCATGAATGAGTAAAAGAGGGGATTTGGAGGAGAGCGAAAAACGTGACATTCTTTTTTTTTT